TGTGTTAACTAATATTTCCCACAAGGTGGTTTACATAGAATTTCTGCCATTACCCGCCTGCAATGCTGCTGTCTTCTTTTCAGTACCTGTACAGGAAACATGTCACGGTATTTTTTTTTCTGTCTAAGCTTCAGGCAACTAATTTTTCAAACTTTTTTCTGGAATTTAGAGGTATAACTGTGCCTGTCTGGTCTCGAACACTCGGTCACGTGCCACGTGGCCCTGGATGCTCAGGGGTGTTCACCTGTCTGTCCCTGCTGTCCCACCAAGTGGATGTCTCTCTCCCGAATTTCAGTCCCCAATCTCAGTAGTGACTCAAAATAGCCAAGCTGTTAAAAAGAACATGACCCAGAACATTGATAAAAGTGCACAGTAAAAGACTGTCACCTTGTCCAAAACAAAGAATGCACTGCAGAAACACACAGTTTATTGGTATGTCAGGTTAAAATGTATTTATCAGAGGATACTGAACACAAAAAGACATAAAGATTACATTAAAAATTATGCCATTTGCATGTGGTGTAATTTCCTTTTGACTCTAGCAATGGATTCTTCTTCCTCTTCCCTCATGATCAGTGGTTTAGATGTGGTACTAAATTAACTCAAAAGAATGGCCATGATTTGTATAATACTCCAATCACAACAGTGTGCACACTAGTAAAATTGTGATCAAATATGTGCCTTTTAGAAACAAAAATTCTTCAGCAACTGGAAGGAGACTGACAACTTTGACAAGCACATTTTGATCAACCAGATTGGCTATGTTACTTTTGGTACCTTGAATGGAATATTTACAACACATAAACACTAGTTCACATAAGTTTGCTATCTCCAGTTGGATTCTGCTGGATTTCTATGCAACTCTGCATACTTCTTTTCTTTTTACTCACTGCTCTGTAACATTCATGGTATCAATTTTTGCAAGTTGCATATATTGCCTATACATTTAATCTAATAACTCTACACTAAGAAAACTTTGTTAGTGAACAAATTATAGGAAAATAATACTTACTGCTGTTGGAAACACCCGAATTCTGTTTCCCGCTATGTCTAGAATTCTTAGTTTCCTCAGTTTGCAAAGCCCCTAGGAGTAAATGGGTAGAAAACTATTTGGTAAAAAAGGGCGGGGAAAGACCAGTAAGTTAAACTCCTCATAGATAAGAATGTCATCTCAGAGGTATCAATCAGTGATAAGATTGATGAAGAAAGCCTGAGTTATCTGATTAAAAAAAGAGGAAAACTCAAAATGAATTAGAAAGAAGAAGATAGTGTAAGAGCAATGTTGCAGCCAAGATGATCTTGAAATTATGCAAGAAGCAAGCATGTCTTAGGGTGATAACTTTTATCAAACCAACTATGTAACTGAGCTAAAGTTAGATAAGCTTTTAAATGAGACTGGATGAAGAATACCTTGCATTTGAAAGCTTATCTAATTTAACCCAAAATATATAGTTAGTCCAATAAAAAAATATATTACCATAAGAAATCCTTGCCTCTCAAAGTTGTCATTTCTGTTAACACTAAAAAAATCAATCCTGAGTTATTTTTCAAAATTTCCAAGGACCTTTATCTCCCAATCCTTCTCCACCTTTTTATGAATTAGTTATGGTGCAATACCTACACATGCAGCTAGGACCACAGCACTTTGAACAAAGGTGCTAAAGTGCAGGGCTAGACAGCAGCCATCCCCTGTCACCGTCTAAACATGCATTTCAGCACATGTAATTACTCTGTTGTAGGACAGTACTGTCTCTGACAGTACTATCCTACAGCAGAGTTAATTAATTTACTGCACCCTAATACTGGCACGTGTAGACTTTGACATTTTACTATGGAGCTAATTAGTCAATTCCGCAGTGAAGCATATGTGTAGATACATCCAGTACCTCCTCTTCTCAGTCACAGCCTCTTTTTTTCACTACAAAGGGATCCAGAGTAGTCTGTAAATTCACATTTCTCAGGCTCCTGTGTCCAGTAAACAAAAACTTTTAAATGGAGCACCTGAATCTCTAAAATTACCAATAGGCCCTATCTCCCAATCTCACTCAATTACCATTTCTTAACATAATTACTCAATTACCATGTCTTATTTCTGGTGGAACATGGGATAGAAAGATACATAAGATTTTAGTTTATGCTGTTATTTTTTCAAGTTTTTTCATTGATAAATTAAGTAGTGGTTACAAGCAGCTGCCAAGATATAATGGTATTAACAGCCTTTTCCAACATTTTCTATTATAGCAGGCTTCATAGATGCATTTTGTTTAATCGTACTGACATTTGCAGGTAACAAAGGTAATATACAAATAAAAAATAAACATAGTAAACAAAATAAACAAAGTATCAAATATAAACTTTGCATGTTCAAATCTTATTTTCTTCTCCTTGATGTACATACTGCTGAGCACCCACAGAACAAGCAACAGAACAAGCCTCAGTCAGAATAGCCTACTACAAAAGCTGTATAAATCAGACTTGGTCACAATAGTACGTATGCCATACTCCTAAGACCTGAAGTTGAAGACCATTCACTTATAGTCATAGAAGAAATATAACTTTATTTCTTCTGATTAGTTTAGAATGATATATTTCTCCTTTATCTTTACTTCTAGCTAAAAAGGAACACAAATAAAAGCTGAATACAACTAAACTTAATGTAAGATAAAATTTCTCAATAGGTCCTCATTTAAGGTCAGATTTTCCAAAGGTCTGGGGCTTTGTACATCTGCACATGGTATAAATACATAACTTACTAACTGTGCCAGCACTTACGCATCTGCATATCAGACAGCAAAGCAGCAGTGTCACAAAAGAAAAGTCTCAAAGCAAGGAACCTGATTCAGAATAAAAACTAGAGGCTCTTCCTTCTCCCTAAAAGCTAACTGGAATATGCAAGAGCTCAAGAGTTTTAAGATCAGATATGTAACACATTTTAGATGTTTATTTTAGACTTCACCAAGGCAAACCAAGGCTTCTAATTTTGACTGAGGAAATGTTGTTATATGTTTGGCCATTAAAAGAGGTAGAAAGTTTTGACGATAAAACAGACTACAAAAGTATTTTAAACTTCATTTATTTATGCCAAATCCTTCCTGAAGCAACAGAGCTATGATACATTTCATTAAAGGCCCCATATTTTAAGAAAGCTCACATTATTTATTTGATGTCCAGCATTTCTCAAATTAATTAATAAAATGAACTTACATTAGTTGCTTCCAGTTCTTTATTTGTTCAAACATCAAGTAAAGATTCACAATTAGTGATGTTACTGAATTTTATTTCATAAAATTACTTCAAACCTTTACTTACAGTGTAAGAAGAGAAATTTTAAAATAATATTTCCCAGGGCACTAAGTACCTGCAGTTTCCTTTAACTTTCAGTGAGTTTTCTGATTGCTCAAGCCTCCTGAAAGTCAGGATACTAGTTAGTTACTAGTTAGTTACTAGTTAACAGGTTTTAAAGTATAGATCTCTTGCTTGATTTTCTAAAATTAACAGAAAGAAAGTTTTCATAAATGGCCTCTCAGTCTCTATACTCACAAAAATTAAATCAATACATACACGTGGCATGAACGTAACTTACCAATTTTGCCAGCACTTGCAAAGCAAAAATTTTATGGCTACATGGAGACATCATATGATAAATTAGGGTGTGTATTTACAGTGTGAATTACTCTGCAGTAACTACCCATGTGGCTAGTCTGAACCCATAGTTAAAGTCAGGTAACTTATCTTGCTTCATAAATGGGACACCTCACATGTACTACAGCATAAGACTGTGCACATTGATAGCTACCATCAAGTAGCTAATATGTAGCAAATTTATGTCCTAGCCTGCCTTGTGGTAAATTGTTTATGTTGCCATACCTAAAGACAGACAGGATAGGTGCCTGTGCTTAGAAAAGGTGGGCCCCTACTTGTCCATTTTAGGCTTTGTTCCTATTTGCAAAGATTAATAAATTAGTTTTAAATTTCTATTTTCAAAATGTCCTCAAGAAAACAGTATTTAAATAAACATCTTTGAGAGTGAAATTATCAAACGTGTTTTAGTGATTGTAGGCATGCATTGTTAAGGTATTTTGGAAAACACACACCATTAAAGATTTGTTATTCAAATGTTTGCTTAAAATATGTACATTAATTGAAAGACAAAGTATGTTAGCGCAGGATTACTCACATCTGGAAGAACCTCTATCTGGTTTCTTGACAAGCACAGCATCCTGAGGTTTGTCATGTATCCAATCTCTTCAGGTACCGTGATAAGACAGTTGTAGGACAGATGGAGTTCAGAAAGCTTTTCCAGGGAACATAGCTCTTTGGGAATACTTCCTATTTGATTATTATTTAAACTCATGTATTCCAGATTTTCTAATCTGTAAAATGAATAAAGTATTTTGTTGTACAGACTTAATATAACCTGCAGTACAGGGAATAACTGAAACTTTTATTGAAAAGTTTCCTATACAGGGATGTGTTCTATTTTTCATGACATACCTGTTTAAATATATTTATATGAAACATATGGTGGGCAGTTGTTAAGGGATTTAAGTCTATTATAAAGTATTCATATGATATGTAAATAGCAATTAATCATAACTTGTCTGACTGCTTTTATTACAGACTCTCAAAACAAAGGATTTGGCTGGGTGTGGGTACTTTTTGGAGCCATTTAAAGCAGACAGAAAATGCCTTCTGAATTCCAAATATTACATATATAATAAGATTGCACGTAGATGGCTTATAGACAGAACAGATTTCGTCCTACATGTCAGGGTGGGTCAGAAAATGCAAAAAATGGGGAGAAATGAAAATCAAATGAAAATGCAAGAATGAAATAATGTTTATTTTTAAATAGTTTGTTCTGAAGTAGATCTTAATATTTTTCCAAAAGGAAAATATCTTGGGCCATACTCAACAAGGAAATCAGCAAAATAACAGAGATAAGAGGTGTAACAGGCACAGCGGATGAGAATAGCTGGTGACTGCAAAAGTTGGTAAAGGTTACCATCGCAAATTTGTTCATTCTAATTTTGTTTTTGCTCTTGCTGAATGTACTGGAGCTTTTTCACATTTTTCTCAATGCTGCTAAGACAATTTTGATGTGCTTATTTTTCTGTTCAAAACGCACTGAAAATAATTTAGAATGTCACTAAGAAAAAGCACCTTTACCCAACTATGGAAAAGAGAAGTTAAACTTCCAGGTCAGAAAATCTTGACTAATTAAAGGGAAGGAGGGCTTCTTCCTCCAAAGAATTTCTGGATAGGAACAGATGCCCTATTCTGGAACTAAGGAAACTTCCATTTTCCCCAGAAATGTAAGAGCTGAGGTAGTACACTACCTGCTGGGTCCTTGGGCACAATTTCTAGATGGGGTGAAGATGACTACATGTGCAATCTACACCAGCCAACCACTCTGCAAGTAGAAAGGATCAGGGGGTGGTGATGCCTGGAAGAGCCACTTGAACTAAAAAAGACTGCCATACAAACCATGCTCATTTACCGCCCCCATCAGTGTATGGGAATCCTCTGTCAATGAACATGGGGTGGTAGATGGTTGGACAGCAGATGGCTGGGGTTGCATTAGCATGGCCTCAGCATCTGTGGACTCAAGATTCTCTGAGCTCACCTCAGAAAACCAAAATGACAGCTTGGGCTCCTAAAATCTGTGAAGTTCCTAACCCTTCAGAACTTTCTTGCCCTTAGGCTTGCCTGCACTACTAATATGTTCCTTGTCCAGGTCATGTCCACAATGAACCATAAACCGTGATTCAATGCATCATGAAATACGACTGTATTGTGACTCATCCTGAGACAGGATCATTCTAAATTCTTTGTAGAAAGAGCACATAGTATGGTTGACACCCATGTGGAAGCTCATAAACCTAGGTATCTTGTACCACCACCTGGAATTCCTTGGCTTTGTGCCCTGCACTGCTGCTCGTTCTGCTGGGGTCCCCTAGCAGCCAACAGCACAGTGATGGCATCAAAATCATCCTGGCCACATTGGCTTTCTTGAAGTGTTTGCTGTACTTTTGCCTTCCTTTCCAGAATGCAAATGAGAACCTTCTCCTGGCTCCAGTTACTAGCAGCGCAGGCTGCAGTGGAAGCGCTGCTGAAGGCAGTGGGTAGTGAAGTTATGAAATTAAAAAGATGGAAGGTCTTGGATACATGTTCAAAATAGGATCTAAACCCCTACAGAAATGTTCCTGGATCAAACAGGAATTCTCTGTAGTACTACATTTGATGAAACAGGAATTCTTTGTAGCACCCTGTAGCACCATATATAACGTCTGAATAGTTACATATAACGTTACAGCCGGGGTGGAAAATTATTTGGGCACTGGGCCACATAGGTTATTTTGGTGAGCTGTCGTGGGCCAGGTCAGCACCCAGTCCCCCGCCATGCAACAACTCACCAAAACTCCTTATGTGGAATGGGGCCCTAGGAAGTGTTGTTCAGGAGCAGGAGGGGCAGGCAAGGCTGGGATCACAGGGAAGGTTTGCAAGGTGGTGACAGTGTGGGGCCAGGGCTGGGGCAGGGTCAGAGACGCAATCCACTGCCAGCACGCCCCTGCAGCGGACATGGGTACCACAGCCAGAGGTGTGCAGGAAGTGGACTGCACCCTGCCCTGCCCTGCCCCAGCCCTGTGCCCAAGATTCTGGCCCCAGCACCAGATGCAGCTTTCTACCCACCTGCACATCCTGTCCGTGTGGCTCCCAGGAGTTGTATCCAGTACCAAGACTAGAATCTTGAAGCAGTGACAGTGCAGGGTTGGGCATAGCTGGAAGCCACTGCTGGGCCTCACTGGGAGGCTTCAGCGCCTATAAAGGGGAGAGGAGGGCTGTGAGCCCCATGGAGGAGGCTTGGGAGGAACTTAGCCTCCCTCTTCCCTCCCCTCACCTGGCAGTGCACAGCTCGGGGAAGAAGAAGGATGCACCCAGCAGTCACCCTACACCCTGACACTTGCAGCAGCCAGGACTGGGCTGGGGTGAGGGGAGGAAAGTGATGCTGGGATCACCTGCCCTGTGCCAGCCTGCAGCTCACCCTAGGATGCCCGCAAGGTGGTGGCAGCCCACAGCCCTGCCAGCTCACTGTGGGGTGGAGCAGTGCAGGGGCAGTGGCAGAAGCCTTGGTGAGGGCGCTTCATCTGGGACCAGGGTTGAGGGCTGATCTCCACAAAGACCAGTCCCTGCCCAGCTGCCCACCGTCTCCATGGAGATTGGCCCCTGGCTCTGGTCTTGGACACAGCAGCCTCACTGGGGCTCCTGCCACTTCCCCTGCACCACTCTGCTCCACCCGACACTGACCCAGTCAGGCTGGGGGCTGCTGTTAACATCCAGGCATTGTGGGACAAGCTGTGGGCTGGCATGGGATGGGGTGCCCCAGCACCATGCATAGGGGCCAAGGGACCCGCTGCAGGCCAGGCAAAAATCACTCCACTGGCCAGATCTGGCCTGCAGGCCGTATTTTGCCCACGCATGCATTAGGTCTCTTGCTGTACCAGAAACCCAGAGTACAGAGCTCAGAGCCCAGTTAGGACTGTGGACTGCAGCTCTGCTCACTGCAGCAGCAGACACCAGTGCCCATTGGTCAGTGACAGGCTGTTGAGTTGCTCTTCCCTGGTGGCAGCGCAGAGGAGCAAATCCCTGTTGGCCCCTAGTTAGAGTATGCCTTCATGGCAACTTTGCAGTGCTGTAGTTAGGGAGCTCTGAACCCCCTTATATATAGCACTATATTTTGTAGGGCTACAAATGCACATCTGTCCACAGCCAGAGTGGCCACTTCAGAAAAGACACAAAACAAATACAAATACTACTGGGTAAAAACAGTTAAACTGGGGAAGGACTGTGGATACCCTGTTCCAAATATTTTCTGCATTGATATGATTTTAGCCCCTCACCTGTCCATGGCTTTTTAAAACCAGTAACAGACCACTTCTGGTGCCTTCCCTCATGGGTAGGGTTAAGGGAAAGAAGATGGGAGAGGTTGAATCTTCTGAGCAATAACCTTTTCAAGAGAAGGGGTTTTGCTTCCCCATACATTTTACATCACCTAAAGCAAGAGGGCACAGCCATAGTACCAATAATGATTTTTAATTTCACAAATTCAAGTTTTGCAATGAAGTTTACAACTTTACATTGCAAAATATTTGGGGGAAAAATGTGTTCTAAAAGGACTTTGTGATAAAATGTAAAAAGAAATGTTGTTATTGTACCTCAGTTCATTCCATACAGCACAGCAGTTACATCTGTGGTACTCAAAGTAAATAGTTTAGATGTTCTAGTTCAGCATATATTAAAAGATAATACACAAACATCAACATACTCAAAGACAACATTAAAAAGATTGGTTCTTGAACTCTAAGAGCTGGATCACAACTGTTGTTCTCAACCTTTAAGTGTTTCCAATTATATATTCATCCACAGGAATGAAAAGACCTCATCCCACATTCCTTTCAACAAAGGTATAAAAAAGACAACCTGACTGTGAGAGAGAAAAATTAAAAGAAAATAGTGCAGTGCTTTAAAAAAATGAGTCAAAAAATTACAATTTCATTTCTTGCTGCTCAGCTATATAGTAAAAAGTCATAAAGCTTCCTCAGCAATTAGAAGTAGTAGTTTGTCACAATGATGATCAGGTAAATAATACATACAAACCAAATACATTGTACATTAATATAATTTGTACAGCTTTGAGAAATTCGTTCATAATCAAAATTACCTGTGTATTTCTGGAGGAAGATATTTAAGCCTGTTGTTGTTCAAATTCAGAAGCGTCAGTTTTTCTAATCCATCTGTTAAGAAACACATCCTTAATCCAAAAAACACACAATTTATATTCTCTGTGGACCGGAATGTTTATCTTCACACTTTCTCTTTCTCTCTCTCACAAACACCATCATAATTACCCTCATTTAGGAGGATAACATTTTACACTCTACTTTCCTAACAGTGTCTAGAAGATTGTATGAAAGCCAGGGATTTTTAACAGATGAATTTTCCCTTAAAACATTAGGTCTGTAGACTACTTCTTCAACATACTTTCTTAAATGTTTACAAATTCAGATTCTCTAAATTAAAGTACAGAACCCACAACAACCATCGTACAGACATGCTGAAGTCACTGGGAGCCTTGCCTACATAAGAACTGCAGTATTCTAAAATTGTGTTATGATCCGTGAATGCTACAGCTGTATATGTAGTTTATTGTATGTTATTTCTGTTGACAGAAAAGCATGCTAATAAATTTATCTTGATTCTGGTAGTCATATAGTACGCTGACTTGGGGATGCAATTAATACTTGCGCTGACCCCCAGTTTTAATCTTTTTTTTTGTTGCTTTGCTATCTAGTTGTTAGAGGCTGACATTCATTCGACTCTTGACACAGACTGGAGTGAAAACTTACGCTTTACACAAATTTTTTACTATCCTTGCTCTTGAGCTATGCCATTTTCTGAGACTGTGAAGAAGCTGAAATGGTTCAGATTTTATTCTGAATGTTTTGCTCAGGTCTTTCTTCAAAGATTCATGGCTTATAACAAAAAGAGAGACCATTGTGATTCATTTAGTCTGACCTTCTGAATAATACAGAGCACAGGACCTGCATGAATTATAGTTTTAACTAAAGTTCTCAAACTGTGGGTCGCAACCCCCAAGGAGTCGCCAGCACATTAAAAGGGGGCCGCAAACTTCCCAGGGGGTACACGTGGTGGTGCAGGGAAGTGGGGTGCAGCGGCACGGAGTGGTGGATGGCAGTACCAGCTGCTGCATGCAGGCTCCCTGCTGCCACCATCCAGCACTTGGGGTCACAGTATCACAAACTTTGAGAACCCCTGAACTAAAGTATTTTCAAAATTGGGAAACTATCCAATCTTGAGTTTAAAATTTCCAGTAATGGAACTGTTTCCTACAATTATTTTGTTTCTGTTAAAAAAATTGTGCCTTTAGTCTCAAATCCTAGTTATGGGATCTTTTCAGTCCTAAACTGCACAGCCCTCAAGGGCAGATTAAATCATACTTTAACCTTTTCTTTTATAGCCTAAATCAGTTCAAGTCTTGTGTCTTTCACTCTTCCAAAGCATTTCTTCCAATTTAAAATAATTTTCCTAGCTATTCTCTTTTCCATTTTTTTAAATTACTTTTTTACTTAAAAATACTGGGTAAAATTCAACTCCTCAGCAAGTAGGCAGTGCCAATTACCTTGACTTTACTTGCACCACTGAAGAATATTTTGTGAATATTCAATATTAAATTAGCCAGTGGAATGTCAAAAGACATTCCTGATAAGAGTTTCCAAACCCTTACTAGGTATTATGCTAAATTTCTTTATTGTGCTTATTATTATTTTCTTTTATTTTTTTCACATTCAACAGATTCATAAGAAATGTTACATATAACTGGCTTACATACCACTGTGATAAGTATACTGAAAAAACCTAAAGTGAAATATTCAAACAAAAATCCAAGATCAATTTGTTCACACTTAATTTTACTATTTGGCAAGTTAGAATCCTGTGATTATATTCACTATCACCTCCACAAGCTACAAGCATCTTACTAATTATGCTTCCTAACACTACTTTTATATGTATAAAGGACTCATTAGTATGGCACGTAACTAAAGATCAGTGTTTTTGACAGATTTGAGGATAATAAATCGCTGAAACAGCACAATGTCTGCATTTCTCTAGACTGGAGGATTCTGCCCCACCACAAACTGGTACAGCCTGTGATGAACGTACAGACATTCCACATCAGGGCTAGAGACAGAAGTTACACATAAATTGGCTTAGGTAATCAGAAACTGGTTTAAACCTGTAACAGAACAAGAGTTCAGTGCACATAAACCAGTTTCAAAATCGCTGAAACTGGTTTAAGATAAACCTGGTTGAATGTAGTATCAGACTTAACTGATGTGGGTCAAAACAGTTTAAGAAACTTCTGTCCCAGACCCCTTCCTGGTTCAAGTTAAATCATAGTCCCCAAGCATCCCAGCATGCTTTATAGCCGTGGGCTGGGCTGTAGAGACTGCTCCAGCAGAGAAGGGTTGTGGGCTGGGGGGTGGGGGGGCAGGCAGGGCAGGGACTGCCCCCCCCAGCAAACCCCAGCTGGGGTCTGGGGCCAGGGAGGAGGGTTAAACCCATCTTCCCCTGAGTACAGGGATGCCCTGTTCTGCTAAACTTACTGTTGGCTGTGACTGTGGGCAGGAAGAGGAACTGATGAGCAACCCTGCAGAATCCTGCTGCTGTGATTCTAGACTGCAAATCCCAGAGACCTCAGGGGGAAAAGGAAGAGGAAGGAAATGCCCATGCTGACTACGTGCCAGAGCCATGCTCTTGTACCCCCCAGCTTTGGGCCTGAACCACTGCATGTGGCTGTATTTCCTGAATCAAAACTGAACGTCTATTCATTTGTTAGTCAATTTAATCTTTGCATCTTAAACTAACCTGCAAAGACTAAATCGATTCAGCCTCAGGCTTTTTGACTGTCTGTACTTAGCCAAGAGGGCCGTGTGTAGATGAAACGAGAGGTGTGTGTGCACAACACTTTAAAGCAGGCTAAATGCTTTTTCACCACTTTAATGGTGTCAGTGTTTGCACACCTCAGTGGCATACTGCGCATTAATTCTAGCTGCTGTAGGAAATTCAGTGATGTAATGCACTTTAAATGACTTGGGGCACAGCAAACTAAAACTTCTTCGAGAAGTTTTAGTTTGCTGCCCTACAGTCTTGGAGTGAAGCACCAGGCTCCATGCAGCTCCGCAGCTCGATAGGAAGCCCTGCAGGCAGCCTGTCAGCAGCCCAAGAAAGCAGGCTCTGCCCAAGAAAAGCAGCAAGCCTGATCTCCACCCCCAGAGCCTGCCTGCCTGCCTGAGCTGCATGGGGACCCAGTGCTTCCCTCCATGGCTGCAGTGCCACCTGGGACCACCCGAGCCGGGTGTCACCTGAGGGATGGACTCCACTGCCGCGGAGGGAAGCACCAGCAGCCCCACCCCCGCAGCCCAGGGACTGTTCTGCCTCCCCTTCCCACTGTAGAGGCAAGTAAGTCAGCAAGGTGTGTGCATGACACGGGGGTTTAATCAGCCCTAAATCGAAGTAGCGTTTTATAAAACCCAACGCTTCAATTTAAGGCCCCTGTTTTGTCTACACGTGCCCCAGGACTATAGAAGAAGGTAATCATGGGGAGTTTGAAAGGAAGGCACACATATAGTAAGGATTGATTTTTAAAGGAAAACTGGAGATTCAGGAGTTAAAAACAAGGTAGGAAAAAAATGGAGACAGGAAGAAAGGAAATAATAGGAAATGTACATATTTATATAGCACTTTCCATCCCCAGCGCATCTATATTCAAGAAACCTTTCACACACAACCTTGAGCTATTGTCACTTCTGGGACTGACTGTAGCAGCTGTTTAACAGTACAAAACACTTTAGAGTACACAGTAAAATAAACAAAGAAGATAATTAGAGAATAAGCATACTGTAATTTCTCCATGTACCCCATGTAAGTGCATAGCCTTCAGACTAAGGAAAATGCATGCATAAATATGGAGCATGCATTTATCCAAATTTAAAATCCAGTCAATGATATGGTATTAACAGCTCTAAAACTGACTGGCTGCTCCATTTCCAGGCTTCTGATAGCAGCTCCCACAGTAATAATTAAAAACTCTGAAAAGAATCAGTTTCAAGGCTACCAGTGTTACAGCACAGACAGCTTTCAAATAATTTTTGCTATGGATTCAGGGGGCTGCAGCTGCACCCCATTTTGACTGTGCAGCATATGCACAGTAAGCTCACTAGCTTCTTTGGCACAGCTCCAGAATCCAGGGAATGAACACCATGGCTTCCCTCCATCCCTGTTTTTTCCCTGCCATCAAATTTCATAGAATCATAGAAGTAGGATCGGAAGGGACCTTACAGATCTTCAAGTTCGACCCCCTGCCTGGGCAGGAGAAAAAACTGGGCTCAAATGATCCCAGCTAGGTAGGCATCAAGCCTCCTCTTAAAGACCCCCAGGGTAGGAGTCAGCACCACTTCCCTTGGAAGTTGGTTCCAGATCCTAGCTGCCCTGACTGTGAAGTAGTTCTTACGGAGAACTACTATTTGGCAGCAGGCAAAGGGGTGAGTGACTCAGTGGGAGTAGCAGCAGCACCAGTGTTCACCACCTAAGCTCTGGTGCCATCCCAAAGCAACTGAAGCTGCTCTGATAAATGGATGAGTTCAGAGTATGGCATAACCAAAGGGTGAGGGGGAGAGGTGGAGCCACACACTCCTCATACCTCCCCCTGGATCTGTGCATGCACAGCACTGTCAGTGATGTGATATTAAAAGCCTCAAAACTGTCTGTTTCCCCCTATTCTCAAAGTTTTTAATAGTAACTATCAAGGCGACTACGAAGTAGACAGATACAGTTTGCATTTACTTAACCAGAACAGTATTGAGTTTCAAAACAGACAACAGAGCTAAAAGCTACTGAGCACTTAAGGTGCTTACTATCTTAACGGATAAGCAGAAACCTGGAGTTCACTAGTGCAAGTAGCAAACAACAAATTTGGACTGGCAATGTCTTGTACAGTTAAGCAAATTCTGCACTGATCCAGTATGCATAAGTGGAGTACAGTACAGTACACTGGAGTACAGTAAAAATGCTGAAATAGTAATTGCATATCAAGCTGGGGGAATGGCTTAACCTACCACCTCATGTAGAGTATAGTGCATTTTAGAAAAATTTACCTTCCTACAGTCTTGGGCACACAACATACAAACAGACATGCATATGTACATTGCTGCAGGACGAGATTAAGGAGGGATGTGGCAGAGCAGTCACACCTCCCTTCTGCCACTATTGTCTCCAGCTGAGCCCAACACCCTGCACAGCCTCACCCTACAGCTGGAGCCCCTGGGCTGGCATGGCACACTGGGAGCTTAGCAGGGTGCAGGCACACAAAGGAGGGGACCCACCCTCTGCTACCACTGATCTGGGCATGGGGAGGAGCCCCAGAGCCACCCCTGCTCTGCTCCAGGTGCAGACTGAGACTGCACAGGATGCTGGGCTTGGCCAGGGAAAGTACCTATTCCTTTTCCACCTCTCCCCTGGTCCCCACTACATCCCCCTCCTCTTGCCTTTCATACTGTTTCCAGAGCTGCTTCTGTCCTACTCTAGCCAGACTCCAGTAAGCAGCTACTTATTGTTCCAGGCTTGGCCAGGGACAGCCATGGAGGCAGTTTCCTCCTTCCTGCATCTACTCCCAGCCAGGAGGGGGATAATCTGGGAGGGGCAAGTGGGAAGCCCAGCTACTGCCACCACTGTCCCCAGCAGAGTCTGGTACCCTGTGCAGCGGCTCCCCACAGCCAACCTTCCCATCAGCTCCAATGAAGTAAGAAGAGTGGCTCTGGGGCTTCCTACATGCCCAGGTCAGCCAGGGACTATGGCAGTGGGGGCAGTTTTCCCCTTCCTGCATCTGTTTCCTGCCCCACCCCGTAGAGTCCCCTGCTGGCTTGAGGACTCCAACCACACTTGTCTCCATCCTCCACCATGGTCTGAAAGGCAGAGTGTTGTACCCCTCTTTACTAAATCTGAGATCCTCCCCTGCTCCTGTATACTTCATATCAGTTTGGTACACTGATGCAAACTGCACTGCTGTTCAGAATGAACTGAAATCCAACTTTTCCAGTGCAACTGCACACAGCTTATGCTGTCAGTGTCTCAGCACTAAGTGGTGGGGAAGCAGGTAAAATATCCTATTTGCTTTCAGCAAATAACTACCCCAGAATAAACTGTGGGTACATGACACTAACAGTGATGTAGTTTCCCCCTGATTTTTCCCGGGAAATTCTAGGTCAGATTTAAGTGAGTTCACACAAGTATAAGTATGTCATATGTCCGGGGCCTATGAAGCATCAAGCGCAGGCAACTGTTCAAACAATAACACCGAAAAGTGAAGGGTCACTAATTCTGTCCAAGCTAGCAAATCCTGTGTGTCCAAAGCATTCCTCTGGTGTTAACTGGAATTCAGTTAGATTGCTCCTAATACCTACAGTTGCCAATGGGCAAATAAATAAGTTGGTGAAGTATTTTAAAAACCCCACCTACATACAAATTGTTAACAGGTAACTTTTTCGTTCAAACATTAGGGTTTCCAAGAACAGTATAATAAAAAGTTTATTCCAACGTGGAAAAAAATACATTGTTTACCAAACAACACTATTCAGACTGAAAATTTTAAACATAAACTATTAAATTGTTAAATATTTTAAGTTTAAATATTTAAATAGCTTGCTTTGATTTGACATCAACTTACCAAATATTGTGGGTGATATGGTAGCAATTTTATTTCCAAATAAGTGAAGCTTCTGTAGTGAATTGAGAAACTTCAGCTGTTCTGGAACTTCCTCAAAGATATTGTTTCCCAAGTTTAGTTCTATCAACTATAAAAAGAGGTTATAAACAAATAACCATCTAGCTTGCTTCTACCTCACAACAAAAAGGCAGCAAATACAAGCTAACCAAGTTTTAAAACATAGATATTACTGGGAAATTCAGAATTTAGAAATTTCCCTTCTATTCCTTCTAAACTACAAAAAAAAAATCTGACACACGCATACCCCAACATTAACAGAATTTCATGTATGGGAGATTAGATTTAGGAAAGTTCCATTTTATTTTTCTACAGCATTAAAAATAAAGAAGCTAATTCATTACCAGAGACGTATATAATAAAACAATACCTCCAAGGAAAAGAGCTGGATTCTGCACATTTATCCAACATTAAGGCACAGCTGTAACCCCTATGACTTGGATAGTTACTTGTGTAACCTGAAGTTTTAACCTGGAATTTAAGTAACTTCTGGAGGGATCTATTCCAAGAACTGCTGTAGTGGGTTCAGTACACATGCATATATGTGCACACTCCCAAAGAAAACAACTCCATGCCAATATAGAAAACCTCACACAGGTTTATATGAATATTTACATATTAATTATATCCAAATCCCAGAGGCTACTAAAGATAAATCCAAGCATAGAAGACAAAGAGCTTTCCAGAATCTCATTTCCAATGGCCTGCCTCTAAACCTCCCCAGCTGATACTGTAAGATAAGAATCACTTCAAACCCTGCTCTCTCTGCATAGAATTAAACACCTTTTAAGTTATGGAAAAATGCACATAACATTTCTTGACACAGTTACAGTGG